ACCGTCTTCGATAAAATGTTGGATTTCTTGAAATCATTAGAGGAAAAATCCAAGCCAAAGAAATCTAGCAGGCAGAAGACAGCAGAAGAAAAGGCAGGGGAAGAAAAAGTAGGTTTGTTAATTTTCTCTTCATCTTGTTCTGATGATAATGAAATCAATCGTTTAATTAATACCCATAAAATACATACTGAAATCTGACCTCTGTTTTTGCAATGCAGCGCGGGAATACAGGATTCAAAATCAAAATCAAGAATTGCCCGACTTCAGAAAAAGAGAAAAGGAAAGAGATCAGAGAGGGAAAAGCGTAAAGTTGATGATGATAATAATCAAGTGGCATATGAACACATTGATAACACAAAGAAAGTTAAGGTAAAATATCAATAACCTACTCGATTCCTCATTGAAATTTTTTTCTTAGTTTATCTAACACTTTTTTTTTACTGATTGCAGTTTATGTTGCGACATTCAATATTCAAAGAGCGGGATGAAGCATCAACATCTGCATTTGGTCCATCATCTGAACAAAGGGCTCCCACCACACCAATGCTTGATTTGAATATGCCGCCACCTAGGGGTGCATTCGGTCCGGATACGGCTCGGATATGATGCTTATCATATACATATCCACTTACCCATCTCGGATACGAATACGGATACGGATATACATCGGTAAGGAAAATTTATAACCAAATCCGCTAAAATCGGATACGGTTACGGATATACATGCGGATATTATAAGTGGATATGCATGCAGATACAAAACAAATATGATAAAACCAGATAGTATTGAGACAAACATAGTTCATGTGATACAAAAGAGTTCGTTAATATGTCAATTATAATTAAAAAGTTAAAATTAGACATCTTGATCATCAAAATTAACCACAAATCCATAATCTAAGAATCGAAACTATCAAAAGAGTATGACTAATATGTATTCGGATATTTCGGATACGGATACAGATATTTCACTACAAAACCATATCCGTAACCATATCCTTTCGGTTATAGATTTGAGTAACCATATTCGTATCCTAACGGATACAGTTACGGATATTTTCTCGAATACGGATACGGTTTAGCACCCCTACCGCCACCTGATGATTATTGAGAGATATTGCAGAGATTGAAACAAAAAAGAATTCTTTCAACTTAAAATTGATGCAGTTTTTTTCCTTTTTCGAAATTGATTAAGTTGTTGATGGGAACCGGGGTCCATCCCCATGATGAATTAATATGGATTTAATCTATGAAGATTTTGTGGTTGACTACATGCATGTATTGATAGATTGTCTTTCCTCATGCATTGAAAAAAGGATGGGTTAGTCTTTGGACTTCCCCATGCAATGAATATGGTGTATCCAAGAGGCATATCCTCCCAATAAATAGAGGGGAGATGATGAAGGTTGAAAGCAAGAAGCAAGAAGCAAGAAGCAAGAAGAAGAACCACATACAATCTGTAATCCTCAAGTGAGTTATGAGAGAGAGTTGTAATCCTCAAGTGAGTTTTGAGAGAAAGTGATCCTCAAGTTAAGTTATACCAACTTGAGAGAAGACCATTTGTAAGCTTTCATTTGATTATAGTGGAAACGGTGAAGAAGGGGCGGGTGAGGACGTAAGCTCAATTTGAGCTGAACCTCGGTAAATCTTGTGTGTGCAATCTCTCTATTTCTCTGTTTTTTTTCTCTTCTATTTTTGTATCTCATCACAAAAACGGGAAAGGTCTTGTTGTACTGTTAATTTCCCAACAGTTGTCAACTGCTTTGTTAAAATTGTTTCATAAACCAATGGATTAATATGTTTCCATTTTTTTATTAATGCATGTAAATATCTTTTTGCCCTATTTGTCCACTAACAGCAAATGTCTAAAAACCTTTACCATGTATATTGAAAATAACAATAGTTTTTTTAATTAATTTATTGTGAGCTAAGGTTAGACAAACACACTGTCTTCATCATGCAAGTTTGTTCCCTCAATGGTACTCAGACGAAATTTGTGTAATTCTTGAATCTTATCATACACGAATTCTTAAGACGTAGATTTTAATTAATCATCTTGTGTTGGAGGAAAAATCTCGCGCATTTCATTTCCCCACTCCAATTTTTCTTTTGACGGGAAAACAGGGCGAGGTGCCACATTCATATCATTTAAAGCTAACTTGCCTTAAAAAAACAGGCGTAAGTAGTGTTACATCAAAGTACTATGATGTAAAACATGACTTAGAATAGAATGGATCTAAAGGAAGCAGATAAAAGCATAGTTTGAGCTGGACTACAGCGGCTCGATGCACAACTAGAATATGATACTTTCAAGACAAAGAAACCCAATGTCAACAACAATCTGAAATAGAGGATTGCGAGCAAAAACTGGCCAAAGAAGAGACAAACTGATGCTTCGTAGAAGTTACCTTCCATGACCTCTTCATATTGTGGTGCCTTGAGATTGTCGATCCCTAATTCCTCCCTCAATATGTCCAAAGTTTTCTTTGCTTTCTTCTTGTTTGAATTGCCTATCCACAGCATGATGAAATAGGCAATGTTAGATGCTAGAATCCGAGGAGATGTTACTTTGTCATCAAAGATTATGTTATTCTGAGCCCTCCATAAGCACCAGCATAAGGTTGGAAAGAACATAGATCAGAACTGAACATGGTTTATGCTCATCAGAAAGTTCCCATTGGACTGTAGGAGGTCAGAGAGAGATGTAGGCCATTGATCAACATGCAGAAATTGCTTAAAGATAGACCAAATGTTAGATGCATATGAGCACTAAAGGAATAGATGCTTGCTAGTCTTTGGATGATTAAGGCAAAAAGTGCAGTGGATATCATGTTAGCTTGACTCGGTCATGGATGACCAAATCAACGTTCGTTTCTCTGTTGAGAAAAACGTGAAAACGTGGGTTTGTTGAGAGAATATCTCTCAAGAGGCGGATCCGAGGGGGGTGGAGATAGTGGGTTTAGCCCCTATAAAATGAGTGTCAATCTCCTACAGAAACATAACAACATATATAGAAAAGAAAATCAAATACTTACCCATTATCGGAGCCCCCCTCAAAAATCTGTTCTTTCTTCTTCTTTGAATTCGATCATTGGTATCAGAGCTGAAGGTTCTTCATCATCTCGGAATCCTGCTATTTTCCCAAACGAAGAAGACTCTCTCCAACTCCTTGAAGAAGAAGCACTCTCTGTTGAAGAAGAAGTGTTCAGTTGAAGAAGAAGCATATGTTCATAACCGACTGCTACATCCAGCCTGTTGTTTACTAGCTGCTCCGCATTAATGATCCTAGATCCAACCTATTGTTTACTGGATATTGTTTCAAATAAGTATCATTTCATAATTTTTTTAGTCGGCCTACATCCCTATTGTTTTCAGTCCTACATCAAGCCTACTCCAAAGCTGGCCCTAGACTTGTTACGTAGCCTTCTAGTCAAGTCTTGTCACAACTCATTTAATTTTCTCAAAGCCTACATCACTTATTATTGTTTTCGGTCCTACAACATAGCCTATCCAGCCTATTGTTATTCCAAAGCCTAGCCTACACCTACATCTTCAAGGACTACTCCCATCAAACACGTGAGCTCAAAGGCTTGCATACATCTGCATTAACATAAATTAGGCCTTCTTGAGTATTGTGCTGTTTGCTGGCCCGACTGTTCCAAGTTGATCATCTCCAATCCAGTTAGAAATAACGTCGAAACTTCGACAATAGATTCTTCGGTCAACACTGCTAAGTGACGACCTCGCTTCAATTGGAGCTTCATTTCTCAACTCACAAGAATCAAGTTTATTTAATTAATTTATTTTTTTATCTAATTTTATTTTAGTATAATTTTCAAAATATCAACCTTACACATATTTTAAAATTAAATTTAGTTTTAGTTCTTTACCGAATGGCTAGTAAACTCGTCCTATCAGAGCTAAAAAAAATTAACAAATTTAATGGTAGAAATTATGATATGTGATATAGAAAATTAGGATATGCTCTTATTCATGACAACATCGATGATGTAATCGAAAGCACTGCTCCAACACTTACTGATAAATCAATACCTGAAGAAAAGAAATGGTTTGAATAATGGAAGTCGAAAGACAAAAAGGCAAAAAGCCTTATGCTCATGTTCATGGAAGGTAACTTAATCAAACTTTTTGAAACTTATAAGACTTCCATGGATATGTGGAATGCAATACAAGAGAAATATAACACTGCCTCTGAAGTTAACATTCAACTACTCTTGCATAAGTATAATTCTTATCGTATGCAAGAGGGAGGCAATGTCGTAGAGCATATTACCAAGATGATTGTCATGGCTAAGGACTTATCCACTGTTGGGACCGAAATTTTGAAAAGAATGTAAGTGACAACCATTCTAAATAGTCTTCCTCCTTTCCTTACTGTGCCTGCCACCACATTAAGAATGAATCCTGCCATTAAGCCTGTCACTGATCTTCCTTTGCACCTAGCGATAGAACATGACTTAATAGCCATTAGGAAAGAACCAGAATTGAATATGATGCAGCAAGAGCTGAATTATGTCCGCCAGAAGCATAATGCTAGAAGCTATAAAAACACTGGTCCTAATAAATCACAACCGCGATGACCGAAGTCATAGCAGTTCAAGAGAAAGAAAGTACCTCGTGGAGCCTACTACAATTGTAGAAAGTTCGGGCATTTTAAGCCCAACTAACCCACAAGGTGAAAAACAGGAGAATAAGGGAGGCTATAAGTATCCAGAACAAGGAGATACTAGCAAAAGAGAATTCGTCGGTATGACGGAATGTAATGCTGTGATGATAGATATCAGTGGTTGGTGGATCGACTCCGGTGTGACTAGGCATATCGCAAAGGACAAGAATGGAGTCATAGAATTAACCGAGCTGAAGAAAGGAGAACAAAGAATCTATATGGGAAATAATTCCTATCTCGATATATAAGTGTTTGCGTCAAAAGTTGGTTTTGTTATGGAATTCATTATATCTTCGGTCGATTACAACAAATTCAAAGAAATAGTCTTTTTATAAGACCTCTTTTACACAACAAAATAAAAATTACAACTCTTGAGAAACAAACGCAGGATCGTTGTTTGGATCGCTGCTTGCGTGGGATCTTTGCCTGTGCCGGGAGCGCTTTGACTCGTGGACCACCGAATCACAGATTCTGATTGAACCGTGAGGGGTTTAATGATTCTTCCTTCGTTTATCGAAGTAGGAATTTGAAGCGAATATCTTATCGATGTAAGATATTCACTCTTCTAAAGATCAAGTCAGAGCTTAGATCTCTAGGAATGGTCAAAAGCTTATTAAGAATGTTTGTGAAGAAGGAAGACTCTCTCTCTTGCTCTAATTCACCAAAACTCAAGGCTCTCTGCTCTAATCTGCTCTGGAAATGCTCAGCCCCTGTCAATGATGGCCATAGGGGGTATTTATAGCCTCATTGGACGATAACTGAAGAAATAGCCGATCAGCAACTAGCCCTTTAGGCGCGACAGTTGATGCTGTCGCGGCTAAAGGGCGCGTCAGTCGACACTGCCGCGGCCAAAGAGCGCGGCAGTCGACACTGCCGCGGCTAAAGGGGCAGTTACACCCACGTTCATACGTGTTTGAAACAGTTCTCCCACGACCTTTAAC